ATTTTTCAAAGCCACCCACAGGCTGATAACTGTGGCATTAAGATTAGCAAATTTCTGTTTTGTTTTTGTTTTTTTTTTCAATATTCCTTTACCCCCTTTTTTTTTTATATTTTGTATTCTTTTACTATATTCTTCTATACCTCTGTATTTCTTTTTTTTAGTTTGTTTTATTTTCTGATTTTGCTTCTTGATGAGTGAATAGCTGCCAGCTGATAAACAATGGGAAAAAAGTCCTTAGTGAGTTAAGGACCCTGAGGGAGGCCAAGAGCTACTGAGGCAGATCGCACTTGGTGTATAAAATCACGTGAGTGAGTTCTTCATTTAGTTAGATCTACTTTAGTTGGAGATAAATTACTTGTAATTTTGAATAACTTGATCTCAAATAAACAAAGGCAAGATAGCTGAATTAGAAAAAAAAATTGCTAAGCTATAAATACTACTTAATAACAAAGTAAAATCATTTTTCTATTAAGTAAATATATTTTAATTTTAAAGTAAACTTGTAAAGCATTATTTTCTGATTTTAATAGTAGTAAGATTATTAAAATCTAATTAGTATATATTAAAATATTGCAAGAAAATAATTTGCTAACCAATATAAACAAACTATTGTTTATATGAAATAGTATTTTTAGCTATAATAAAACTTATAGTAAAATATGTTATAATTTACTATATATAGTTATATATAATTGTCTCATTTAAAACTAGTTTATTAATTAAAATATATATTTAATATAAATAGTATAAATACTAATAGTATATTAGTAATCTTATTACAAGATTAGATATACTAAATTAAAAACTAAAAAAGATTTATTTAATTAAATAATTATTATAAAAAACTAATAAATACTATATATAAATACTAAATAGAAATAGTACAAATAGTACAAAATTCAAATTAGCTATTATATATATAAAATATAAAAATTTTTAATATATAAACTATCAATAACTCTCTCTAATAATCATTTATACAAATCTATAACTAACAAAAATAAAAAATTTATTAGAAAAAAGTAGAAAAGACAATTATATAAGCAACAGTTTTTATAGAAGTTAAGATTTTCTTTGGTTTTCTTTTCTTTTAAACTTCTCTATATATTTAGCAAGCAAGTTAAAAGTATTTTTGTATAAGATAACTAGTAAAAAAGTAGTGCTTTTATACAGAAAATTTTAATAGAAGTATACACTTCTTTTAATAAAATAAAAAGATAGTTAATCTAAAAAATAACAACAAGCAAGTTTTTAATTTACTTTCTATTAAAGTTCAAAGATATTTGCAAACTGAAACTCTCTCCAATATTCTACTTCTTGTACTTTATAAAATTTCATCAAAAAGTAAAACATTTTATATATTCTTATCAAAAGATTAATAACAATTATTGCTATTAAAAAAAAAAAGATATATATATATATATATCTGCTTTAAGATAAATAATATTAATTAAGTTTCTATTTTCAGAAGTTTGCAGACATTATACTTTAATTTAGTTAGACATATGGGCCTCAAAACAGAAAAACTTTATTTGATTTTGTATTGCAAGATTTTAGATGAAAATATAAAAGAAATTTTAAACTTAAATTTTTATATAAGTATAAATAGTTTTAATAAAGGTTTATATTCTGGATATAGATATAAATAGCTAATATAGAGTCTAAACTAGCCTATTTAGTAATATTATATAATTTTATAATTCTGTATAAGTTTAATAGTACTATTATTGTTTTTTTGTTTGTTTTTGCTATTTATATTATTTGGTTTTATTTGTTTAAATAGATCAGAATTTGATGTTAAAATACTTACTCTTTTTTGTTATTAAATCTTGAATTTGTGTTTTTACTTCATTTATATAAAAAGAAAAGTCAATTTGATAAGATATATACATTGCTGAAACTGCCAATTTAGCCACTTTAGAACTACTTTAAAATAGCTATAAAGTAACTATAAAGTAACTATATAGTTATATATTTACTATAGAGTAGCAATACGTCTACTACTACTTGCTACTACTTTGCTACTACTTTGCTACAACATTACTATACTTTTACTATAGTGCATATAACCTAATTACAGCAAATAAAACTTTTTAGTGGCCAAATTCAGATTTTATTTTTTATATATATAAAGAGACTAATTTGAAAATTTAGCTAATATTTATATATAAAGTGGCCAAATTTTAAATTTTTAATATATATAAAGTGAACAAATTTTAAATTTTTAATATATATCAAATTAAATTAATTGTTTAAAGAAACCAAATTTGCCTTTTTACATATATATTAAAGGTGGCCAAATTTCATATTTAATTATAAAAATGCAATAACTTTAATTTGCTATAACTTTTTAATAAATAGATTTAAAAAAATTTAAGAACTTAGAGATGTTTAGTTTGTTTTAAGTTAATATTTTAAGATAGTATTTTTTGTTTACTATTTTTTTTGAAGAAGGATTAGCAATTTGAATTTTATTATTTTTATTTGCTAAACTAGGTTGTATGCACTGTACAATTTTTTTAAAAAAAAAAAGTTTCAACCCTTTTTTTTAAAAAAAAATTCTATAAAATTATAGTAAAAGTATAGTAATGTTGTAGCAAAGTAGTAGTAAAGTAGTAGCAAATAGTAGTAGACATATTGTTACTCTATAGTAAATATATAACTATAGCTATTATAAAGTAACTATATAGTTACTTTATAGTTACTTTATAACTATTTTAAAGTAATTCTAAAGTAGCTAAATTGGACAGTTTCAGCAATGTAGTCACTAGCCTGTATCTAATAGAAAAAAGTTCTTAGTAAATTTCAAACCTAGAGAAAAATTAATAGCTACTAAGACAAATCACATTTAGACAATAGCTGCTCTAAGTAAGTTTTCTGTTTGATTAAATTAAGTATAACTATAATTAAAGTTACTTGTAATTTTATATTAGTTTAATTCAAATAAACCAAAACAAAATATAGCTGAATTAAAAAAATTTTTTAATAAATTTAAATTATAAATAACTATTTAAGTCTTTATAGTTATTATATACAATATATAAATTAGTAAATATAAGCTAGTAGCAAAGCTATAATAATAGCTATTACAAATATTAATAAAAATCAAAAATAAGTTTTTATCTTAAATATAAAAAAAGTTATTATTTTTAATAAATTTTTTAATTTTTAATTTAAAACTATATAATTAAATTTAATAAAATTTTTTAGAATTATATAAAATTAAAATAAAAAAATTTATTAAATTTAATTATATAGTTGTTTAAATATTTAAATTTAAAGTTAATTTTAAAAAAAAATGTTTTTTGATTAACTTACCACTATATTTTATTTAAAATATAGTATATTATTAAATTATATTTAAAATTTTATTTAAAATCTAAATTTTAAATTTTTGCAACCAAATTTGTCTATATAATTAATAAAAAAATAATTTATAAAAATATTTATTAAAATTTGAATTTTGTAGCTTAGTAATTAAGTTGTTTTAAAATTAATTTATTTTTAATCATAATTTTGCTTATCTTTTATTTAAAAACTTTATTTGAAGTATTTTAAAACAATAAACTCAATCTTTATTTGGACTAAATGTCGATATCCAATAAAAAAAAACTATTATAAAATAATGTATATATGAGTGTCGCTAAAAGAAAACCCGAAAATTTAAATATAAGTCATATTTAGGTTGTCGGGTTTTCTTTTAGCGACACTCATATATAGTCCATAAATGGTCATGTTCATTGCTCTATATTGTCCATGTCCATATTCTGTAAACACTACAATTTTTTTCATCAAAGTTAATAGTACATGTTCTGCTACACAATACACGAAAGTGGCATTAAATTTGATAAAAAATTTTGTTATTTTTCATCTTCACAAATATTGTGTGTATACTTAAGATTAGTAATATTATCGTTTTACGCAGTATAATAAGAACTAGAGTTTAGGGCACTGGAAAAAAATTATGCATGCCCTTTCTAAATCATGTGAATAATATAGTTCGCGAGTTCGCAACATTCTAAAAACTTCATATGGGGTGTTGGTAGAAACCAAGCAAATTGTTTCTAAGTAAATTTTTTTAAACATTAAGTTAATAGATCTAAACAACTATTAAACCAAATTTGATAAAAATTTTTTTATTTTATTCTATATATATAGTTATAGAATTAAAATAAAAAGTTTGGTTTAATACATAGTTGTTTAGATATTTTAACTTAATGTTTAAAAAAAAATTTACTTAGAAACAATTTGCTTGGTTTCTATTGACACCCCCATATGTTGATTTGGTATCTAACCTTATTAACTAATCAAAGTGTGCTTTATATATCACATGACAATGGCATGCCCTTTGGCTTTGAGGCATGCCTCGTGCCCCCTGTGCCCTAAACCTAACTAGAACAAAGTGATTTTCAGAAATGTAACCAATAACATTGACAGTCATATGACTTGTCACATAAAGATTACACAAATCGAAGAATAAGGATTATAAAAATTAAACGACAATGAAAATTTTCCGTTCTGACTCAATGTCTCAAGAGTTTAATTAAATATGATGTCTACTGCTGTGATGTAAACAGATTAATTTTGCATTCACATTTAAACAATCTTACGAGTCGTACACTGCACCAAAAGAGTACTATAAAATAACAAAGCAAATATTAGATAATTATTGCCTTCCTTTGAATAAGTATCAAGTATTCTGCTATCTATACAATATAGACATGGGTCTTTTTTTTTAAGAAAAAAGGAGTAATCATTCGTAAAAGCAATATATATATATATATATATATATATACATTAAAGAAACTATTGCAACGAATCTTAATATAAGAATGGTTAAGGAAGAAAGTGCCACTAAAGTATTTGCATACTTTGTGAATGCATTTCTAATTCTTCGTTCTCGAGGCATCATATCAAATGAGATAATTAATAATCAAGAACCATTGAAGGAATTTAGTGCATTAAGGGATCATATCTTTAGAATTGAAGATTCAAATTATCAAGCAAATGCATCTAGCCAAATTACTGATGATAAAAGTGATTTCATTCAGTTACATGATGATATTGATAAATTACATAATAAAGTTATTGAATTTGTCACTGATCTGAAAAGTGGGATTTACATACATTCAAATAGGATTTCAGAACTATTACAACACTATAAGTGCGAAGCAGAGACATCAAACTTGCAACCCACACAACTCATCAAAGAAGTTTTGAAACGCTTAGTAATTGATACGATTATTGACATGGTTAATAAATACTTTGAATCTAATGAAGCAGATGACTTCTATCCTGGAAGTAATGTATTAGGCATATTGTTAAAAAATTTATGCTTATTAACAGTTAAAAAGTCTGATAACGATAACAATATCATAAAAGAAATTCCAATAAAAGAGCGTCAGCAAATTTACTTGTTTCTTAGAAATTTAGTGTTCGATGAAGATGGAAATCACGAGCATTGGTTTATATATAATAGCAAACAACAGCTTATTGATACGATAAATAAATACCGTATCATCAATGATCATTCTAAG